GGGTCATGTGATCACCATTTGTGACCTTCCCAGCCAGCTTCTGACAAGCAAAATCAATGGGGAACCGCATGATTCACTTAATGACCACATGATTTACTTAATGACCACATGATTCACTTAATGGCCATGGTGATTCACTTAACATCTGCCACAAAAAATGTTGTAAAATTGGGTGTGGTCACGTGATGCCTTGCTTAACGACTACTGCTTAACAATTAATTTTCCAGTCCCTATTGTGGTCATAAGTCAAGGACTACCTGTAACTGTTTCTCCGAGTCCCTCCTGAATGGCCCATTGCTTTCTATCTCCTTTAATAGCTCTTTCATACCTTTCCCAAAGTCATCTCTAAATTTCTTTACAGGTGGAACTTCTCAAGTGATGTCTGAAGACTACAAGTGGATCTGCATGGGTTTGCATGTGAAAAATCAGGATCAGACTCAACTATTAATACAGAGTGGCTTTTCATTCAGAAGCCTACTGATTCTGGATTAGTAACAACTTGGGCTCTCAGTATCAAGTGTGGACCCACATGGTAGGGTCCCCCTGGATTCACAACTGTTGCTGGAAGAAAACCATGCCCAGGAGGGCCTTTATCCAGCTCTGGCTGATGCGCCAGTTGCAACCTTACCCAGAGCAGGAGGTACTAAGGAAGATAATTCATGCCCTTGCCTCTTGCACCTGGATTACTGTAATTTGCTTCACATAGAGCTGCCCTTGAAGACCACCCAGAAACTTTCAAGGGTACTGGCCTGCATGCTTAGAGGCAGTTTGGTTATTGCCATATGGTACCACTACTACAGGAGCTGCACTGGTTGCCAGTAGGTTTCCAAGTCCCGTTCAAGGTGCTGATCTTTACCTATAATGGCCGAAGATCTGGATATCTGCAAGACTGCCTTTCCCAGATAGATTCTCCCTCCCCGAGCTAAATGAACAGAAAATGCCTGCTGAAGGTCTCCTCCTAACGTGACATGCAACAGAGTTCTCCATCGGAGCTCCCCTCCTTTAGAACAGCTTGCACCCCTGAAGTAAGAGTAGTTCCTATAGTAGGAAATATTTCCCTCAAAGGGGTTCATTTCAGTCAGAGACCAGGACACATTATACTAAAGCCCAAATTGGTTTACTGACAGTGCTGGAGGTGAAGACAGGCCTAAAGAGAAGTGGGATTACAGTCCCTTTTTATAGACTTACAAAAATTAGAATATACATGTGACTGGAGATAGAAGTCAGTTATTTCATTGGCTATAACACCTCATGTAATGTGCCTAATGAGGTCAGTGAGGCCATTAGAATGTAACTATAAGGCAGTTTTTCTCAGCCTTGGCAACCTGAAGATGTGGGGGCTGGCTGGGGAATTCTGGGAGTTGAAGTTCCCACATCTTCAAGCTGCCAAGGTTGAGAAACACTGCTGTAAGGTAATGGAGCAGGACTACAAGACAATGGGCTTTTGAAAGAACAAACACAGTATTCCATGAAATTAGTTTCTTTCTAGGGAGTTACTTTCTTTTCCTTTCCCAGAGCTCTGCTCGGCTCCCAGTATCTTTTCCCCGTTTATCAGCATGAACAAAGACAGTATTCCATGAAATTAGTGTCTTTCTAGGGAGTTACTTTCTTTTCCTTTCCCAGAGCTCTGCTCGGCTCCCAGTATCTTTTCCCAGTTTATCAGCATTCTTTGGCCTTCCAAATGTTTTATAGCTAAGCTGACAGTGTAGTTTTCCTGAGAAAATGTTTTGTAATGGGGCAGTTAGAGAGGCAGTTTGGTGTAGTGGTTAAGGCATCAGGCTAGAAATTGAGACCATGAGTTCTAGTCCTGCCTCAGGCACAAAGCCAGCTGGGTGATCTTGGGCCAGTCACTCTCTCTCAGCCCTAGGAAGGAGG